CATAGTCAATGTAAAAGGGAATTAAGTGTTACTCTCACCAATCTATGATGTTAGATCAGTTGTATCAATTTTATAAATTCCTTTTCAAGCTGGGCCAGTGTCAAATAACCCTCAAATAGTGCCTGAATAACTCTTCTGAATATACATATCAATTTTCTCCCACCCACATCAGTACTATGTTTTAAAATAAATTAATTTAGATGTCAATGTTACTCACATATTTGTTATTATGGACCCTAAAAGAAGCATTTCCAGCCTTATGTCATCCAGAGTCAGGATTTTAAGCTTAATAAGGCATTAAAGACTATAACTAGTAAAAAGCCTCCTCAACTCCTCCCCTCAAGAAAGCAGTTTAGTTTTCATCTCAATTTTTTATTCCAGATTTAAAAGGAACAAAGAAAACCACAGGAAGAAAGCATAAGAGAGTTCTCACCTGAATCCTGCTTGTAGAACATGAACATTCCTGCATGGCTCCATTGCCTCTAAAACACTTGACAAAACCGAAAGGCACACGTCATCACACTCATTGATACGTTCCTATTGAAACATAATTACAAAAATACTACAGGTGATGAGCCCATAGTAAATTATCTCATCCAAGCAAAACCACTGAACTGACGTACTGAATAAAAGGACTAAGTATCAAGCCAACAATTCCCACAGTCAGTCCACAATTAACAGCATCTTCAGGAAATAAAAAGTCATACTTACCGAATTTTCCAGCTAACTAATATACATCCTTTTATGTATCAACACTTTTTTACCTTCACCATTATCACTGAAAACATATTTGATATTCATTATATTCCACTGCTTCTGAAACAACTTCTATTCAACATTATTTTTACCTCTTTTTGGAGCCCAAGGTCATTACAAAGGCAAAACCAGTTAAAGTGCAGGAATATAAGAACCACAGAGGTATAGAAGGTAACTACCATCTCTAAAGATCCTTAAATGGTTGTGCCCTTACGATTTTCCTAGATCCATTCCTAAGCATCAAGCTGAAACTCTACTTGCGAACCTTCTAATTCAAATCTCCTGCCACATTCTACCACTACTATCTGGGTCTCAAGGGAAGCCTACACCCCACAGATTCTTCTTTCAGGTCCCTTTACTTAGAGTACTAAATTGGATTCCAGAAATAACAGTGGGCATAATTTGGAAAGTGAATAGTAACAACACAGCTTACCTAGTACTGCTCTACAGTTTAATCACAACTAGTCTATACACCTCACAAAAGATCACATCTGAGGAAACTTAGCCTAAAAAGAGACATGCTCTTTTGCTAAAATTACATAACCAACCAATCACAAAGTTTCAAGTCAGAACCAGATAAGAAATGGATATGGTTAGAAGAAAAAAACAGGTTTTTTTTCCTATGAAAGGATTTCCTTAACAATTTTACAGCATTCCCTTCAATATCTACTATGTAAGAAAACACCACTTGGTTATGTGTTTGAAGGGCAGATTCACTGATGGTACACTCTCCTTTCACCTCTATCTAAAATAAATGTCTTTGTATTATTCCAACAGTCAGTGAGACATATCATCCATAGAGATGTTTTGACTACAAAAATCCACTACTCAGACCTCACCAACACAGATGTCATCCCCGTGTGAGTCCATCTGTCCAAAATCTAGTAAGAGTATCACTGATCAGGTAAGGTGGCTTATTATAGTCACTTTTAAATAACTATATAGGGAACTAATACACAGTCTACAAATAGACATGGATATTCTGTGGTTTAAACAAATATACACACATACGCTAAATAAAAGTTATTGCTTAAGAACATATGGATCTTTAGCTAGAGTTACAGACTTAAAAAGAGAACATATGGAAATCACAGAATGTAAAAATTTAAAAATTTCCAAATAGCTAGAACCCAATTCTTGAATTTTATAGCAAGATAGGATACATGCCAGAATTATCCCCAAGAAATTCCTGTCTTTTAAAAAAAATTATGATTTTCAGACAGGGTCTGGCTCTGTCACCCTGACTGGAGTGCAGTGGCACAATCATGGCTCACGGCAGCTTCAATCTCACAGGCTCCAGCGATATTCCCACTTCAGCCTCCCAAGTGGCTAGGACCACAGGCAAGTACATCACACCCAGCTAATTTTTGTAGAGACAGGGTCTCCTTACGTTGCCCAGGCTGGTCTCAAACTCCTGGGCTCAAGAGATCCTCCTGCCTTGGCTGCCCAAAGTGCTGGGATTACAGGTGTGAGCTACCACACCTGACTAAAAAATTACTTCATTATCATTTTTAGAAGTCAGAAGTGTACACTCTTAAAACATAAATGATTAAAAAGCTAATCTCTCCTTCCTTACATCTGGCACCATTTCAGTTACATTAAACAGGACATTGACATTCTTGCTTTAGACTAAAAATGACTCCCTCCATCCAATTTCAACCTTCTTCCAATCCATTTTCCACTCATTCAGTGATCTAAAATACAAATTTTGCAATGGATTCCCAGTGCCAGGATAAATGCATACCCCTTAGCTAGCCACAAGAGGCTTTTTATGATTTGGTTCCTGTTTTTCTACCCTCCTGTCCTGCCCCCCTGCCCCCCTGCCCCCCAAGCCTCTTGCCCCTCACTCCTCTCCTTTGATCACCACGTACAAAATTTCTTCCCATCCCCTCAAACATACATCTCCATTGTTCTGTATTTCAGCCAGGCTAAATTACTTTCATCTCTTCAAATCTGCCAAACTTTTCCTCCGGGAATGTTAGGGCATGCAATCCTCTCTACTTAAAACACCAGCCCCTTCACTATCAATGTGCTCATTAGTTTAGGTATCATCTACTGGGCCTGAATCCCAGTTCTACCATGGACTAGATTATCTTCCTTCCCTTTCCTTTCTCTCCTTCTTCAACTACCCAGCCTTTCTGAGTATATCTTGCATCTCTTCTCATTTTAGCTTCTTCATCGCTGCTCAACTCTGGAGATGGTAAATGGGGAAGGTTTTCATAAATTTCCACAGCAGAAGGAAGAAAATAACTAGCTAACTTAAGGCCTCCAAATCATATAATATATATGCAAAAATAAATAAAAGGAAACTACCATTCCATTTGACAGTCTCTTTTAAGGAGGTTACATATCTATTTCCCATCATTCTTTCAAAATACTATAAATCAAGTAAAAGCATGTTTAAATCTCCTTTTTATTTTACCTGGGTCACCCTCAGCAAAGTCTGTACCAAAAGAGTGTTCTGAGGGATTCCAAGCTTCACTATTGCATGAAGACTGAACAGCAGGTACTTGTATTGCATGATCTTGGCTTCTCTCATCATATGTTCACAGAGCTGATTAAACGCAGGGTGGCTAAACATCAGTTGTTTTTCAAAGCGCTTCTGTTCGTCAGACAGTCTTTTGGCAATTGTCCACATTGCTGTGAAATAGTTGCTACTAGGAAATGTAGGTGCTTTTGAAAATGTATCTAACACATCACTAAGAGAATTACACTCCTGAGACAGTGTGCTATTGCTGTTACGATTTGGTTTTGTTTCGTTGTTAAGAACATCTTCATTGGAGACTTCATGATGAAAGTTTACTTTCTTCAAGCCATCATTAGATTTATCAACAGAGACAAGAGACTGCTTTGAGTCAAAAGACAATCTTCTAGCACAAAGTAGTCTGTCAATTCTACGGGCTGTTACAGTGCTTATGCCCTTTCTTTGAAAGCCAACATCTGATTTTAAAATGAATGCATCCTGAAAGAGATACCTAATGATACCAGATGATTGCATTCTCTTATGAAAGTCATTTAAAGTGTTCCAGTATGAATAAACTATTTTTGGTTTGCAAAGTCCCAAGGGATATAGCCTCATAGTTCTGCTTGTTGGAACTAAAGTCCTGAATTGTTTAAGGTTCCATAACAAGGAGCCTGCTTTGTTATTCATTTTGTTCTCCACTGAAACACTTCCAAAAAACTTTAAAGTTGTCAATATGAAACCAACGTCACTTTTACTAGTGAAAAAGAAAACGTGCTGTGGTTTTCCTGTAGGGGAAGAAGTAATAAAAAGAATAAAAATTAAAGCAAAACTTTTACTTAAAGAAATGGAATGCATTTAACAGAAGAGAAAATGGGGAACCTATGGCGCTATTAAAGATTTACATAATTTTTTTTTTTAAATCTATATGGACTCCCTCCAATATACCACAATGTGTCCAGTTTCAAAGAAGCCAGGTCACTTTCGAAGTAGTCATTGTATAAATGAGTTTTGTTTTTTTTTTTTTTTAAGTGAATTTCTGGTGCAAAAGCCTTCCGAAAAGCTTCCTTTGTAGGACAGATTTTTGTTGGCATTGTTATGGAAATATCCTCAATGAAAATTAGGGGATTAACACTGATGGATCATTTTCAACATGAGGATTTAGCAACGGCCGAACGCAGACCATCAAGAATATGGATTTGGGCCGGTACAACGGCTCGGTGGAAGAAGCAGAAAACGAAAGCGATGTTTGCATGTTACTTGCGCTTAGGAGGAAGATCTTACACAACTAGCCGGCCTCAACAGGTCCCGGGACCAACGTCAAAAGCCTGTCCTTCCGCAGCTGGGCCGCCCGGCATTAAGCTACCTCCTTTAAACTTAATTCCGGGACAACGCCTGAGACCTTGCTCTGCAAGGTAAAAATTCTAGGATGTGATACGTTCAACCACTCAGCCCAGGCTCGTTCTTCACTCACCTTAGGGTAGAACCCCGCAGCTACATACAGGCGCGGCCATGACAGCTTCTCCGAGAGCTGAGAGTCTCACGAGGTTTTACGGATTCCCTCAAAGGTCAAAAAGCATACGTTCGCGGTTGTAGCTGAAGAACTTAGCTTAGAAGAAAGCCTACGGAGGAGAATGACTAATTACCCTGGATACAGGGATGGGGATCAGGGCTACTACAGCGCTTATAAGGGCAATGTTTGATCGTATATCGCAACATAACCCATTCAAGTCCTAACTTTAAACATCTAAGCTCTGCCGGGCGCTAAACTTTGTAGTGCGCTTGCGCCTTGCCGTTGGCTGCGTGGTTGCTAGGAAACCGCTAAGCCGCGGTCCAGGCTTCAAGTCTCTCCACCATGGCCAAATTCGTGATTGCGGGTGAGTGATCCCCGCGTCTGCCCGCAGATTGCTCAAAACGCCGACAACAGCTCCCCTCCCACGGCCGCTTGGCAGTGATGTTCTTACTGGCTTATACCAAGTCCAGGTTCTATGTGGACCGCTCCATGCTTTGCTATGGCTTTATTCAAAGATATTGACTGGACCGTGACGGTGTGCTAAGCACGGTGGGACGCTGGGAATACAATGGAGGGAAACATATCTCTGCCTTCGAGGAGCTTTCAGTCTCATGGGGCACAGAACATGTACTTTTGATACGGTGTGATTAATGCAATGAAGGAGACATGCATAGGCCCCTGGGAGCATAGACTCCTAATCAGGATTTAGGGGGTGGGGGAGAGGTGGACACAAGGAACTGGCTGGGGAAGATATTGCAAGAGCTGAGTTATGAAGGCGTGAGGGGAGGAGCCTAGTCCAGATCAAAGCAGAGAGGCTAGAAGCCTCATGGCCTAACCAAAAATCTGGATATGTGAGGAGTGACAGGACCTGGTTCTAGAACAGGAGCAGGAGCCAGGTCATTGCATTTCATGTACGCCAAGGGAAGGTATTTGAATTGTATCCTGAAAGCAATGAGGAGTTATAGAAAAATTTTAAGCAGGAGGGTGGTCTTAATGAGTTTGCATTTTAGGAAGCCTGTCTTAGCAGCAATGGAGAGAATGATTGAAAGTGCTGGTTGACAGCAAGGACCCAACTGAGAAGACTTTTATTACAACAGTCCATGGTAGCTGCCTCCTTTCCTCATAGTTTCTTTTTTGTTGTTGTTGTTGTTTGTTTGTTTGAGACGGAGTTTCACTCTTGTTGCCCAGGCTGGAGTGCAATGGCACGATCTCGGCTCACTGCAACCTCTGCCTCCTGGGTTCAGGCAATTCTCCTGCCTCAGCCTCCTGAGTAGCTGGGATTACAGGCACACGCCACCATGCCCAGGTAATTTTTTTAGTATTTTTAGTAGAGACGGGGTTTCACCATGTTGACCAGGATGGTCTCGATCTCTTGACCTTGTGATCCACCCGCCTCGGCCTCCCAAAGTGCTGGGATTACAGGCTTGAGCCACCGCGCCAGGCTTCCTCATAGTTTCTTGAAAGAGTAGACTGCTCTTCTATCTCCAGTTCTGCCTTCCAATTAATTTTGGAAGAAGGCCTCTAATTCTGCTTCCTGACAGAAACTGCTGTCATCAAAGTCACCAATGACTTTCTTAGAAGCTGTTTATCCTTTGACTTATTTGATCTCTTTGATGCATTGAACACAGCTGACGTCTACCATCCACAGAAGAATTTTTTTTTTTTTTGACAGGGTCTTACTTTGTCACCCAAGCTGCAGTGCAGTGGCACAATTATGGCTCACTGCAGCTTTGACCTCCTGGGCTCAAGCAGTCCTCTAGCCTCTGCCTCTCAAGTAGCTGTGACTAAATGGGGTTTTGTCATGTTGCCCAGGCTGGTCTTGAACTCTTACACTCAAGTGATTTGCCCACCTTGGCCTCCCAAATCGCTGAGATTACAGGCATGCGCCACTGCACCTGGCCCAGAAGAATATTTTTGCACGCTGACTAACTGTATGCTGGGAAGTCAGAGGAAAACACACTTACAGAGAATGCTGCATGTATGACAGTGGCAGAGCAGAGTTCTATAGGAACAATAGCAGGGGACCTTACTTAATTAGGTAAGGGCTTCCCAGAGGGAGAGATTTTAAGCAGATACCTTAAAGATGATAACAAATTACCTAAGAGGGAAGAGGTAGAAAGGAAGGGAGTAATTTAGGCATGGGTAACAGGGAGTGGGGTTAGAGTGAGGAGAACTAGTTTGGTGATAATTGAGAATATAAAATAAGTACAAAATTGAAATAAGTTTATTAGGACTGAAGCAAAGAGTACAAGGAAGAAAGTGTCATAAAGTGAGGCTAGAGTTAGGTAATGTAGATTCTTGTGAACTATCTTCAGTAGTTTAGACTTTATCCAGAGTTTTGAAAGGGGAGGAGGACCTAATCAAATTTGCATTTTATCTGAATGTTATAGCTATAGTGTGAGAGATAAAGACTGGATGCTGAGAGACTAGTTAGGAAAATAGTGCTGTAGTCTAGAAGGGAGTTGAAGGTGACCTGTCCTAGAGTGGCAAACAATGGAGATGGAGGTAAGTGAATGGATTAGAGAGATACTAGGGAGGCAGAATCTATAGAACTGGATATCTAAGTGAGTGGAGGAGGGCAGATGAGAAAGAAAAAGGAGTTAAACATCATTCCCAAGCAGTGGTTTGAATAACTGCAGAGATTAGGAGTCACTGAAAAAAAAAAAAAAAAAAAAAAAAAACAAGCAGAAGAGTAGGCTTAATACTCTGGATACTCTTACTGCTCTTAGATAATTAGGGAAATTGGCATAAAAATATAAGTGACTAAGCAAATTTAGTAGGGAAATGGTGACAAAATTCATCATGGACCTTCTGAGTGCCTATGAGACATTTTGAAGGATATGGGAAAATACAGGAGGGTGTAGGCATCTAGATAAGGAGATAGATCTGAGCTGGAAATACAGATTTCTACTTGAAGCCAAGGGAATGAAGCCAATTGGCCAGAAAGAATCTGTAGGATATAAAGAAAAGATGCTTCTCAGAATGATACCTTTTAATGGGTTGTTAAAGGAATAGGAACCTACAAAGGATAGAAAGGAGTGACCAGAGAAGTAGGAGAAGAATCTGGAGAATGCCCCCACTATAGCAGGTGTTTTAAAAGCATGCAAGGGGGCAGTAGTGGCAAATACTGCCAAGGGTCAACAAGAAAAGGATCGCAAAGTATCCATTGGATTTAGTGGCATGGAAGTCCCCAGTGACCTTCAAGAGAATTGTGGGGTCTACTACATTGCAGTGGATAAGAAATAAATGGAAGTGAAGAACTGAGGATGGCAAGTATAGAGAACTCTTTCAAGATATTTTAATAGAAAAGGACATATGAAAGGCAATAGCTAGAGGGCGGGATGATGTTCCTCAGGACAGGAGAAACAGTATAATGAGTATATTTAAATATGACAGAAAGGGACTATTAGAAACACATAAATCTCTAGAAAGAGGATAATTCACTAAGCAAGGTTCCTGAGAAAGCAGATGAGGGTGGGATTCAGAGCATAAGTGGTGGGATTAGATGTAGACAGGAGGTAGGACTCCTCTTCAATTGAAATGAAGAAGGGAGGAAAGGATGAGTCCAAGTGCAGACAGGCATGTAGGTGTGATGGAGGAGGTTGGAGGTTTTCCAACCTAATGCTGTTTTGTTTTGTTTAGATTGGTTTTTGTAAAGTAGAAAGCAAAGTTGTCTGTTGTCTTCTGATAATGCTGAGGAATGTTGAGAAGAAGGAAATGATTTGGAGGAAGAGGAAAAAGTTTGGAATAGTTACTGTAGAGAAAAGAAGAGAGTGCTGATAAGAGAAACAGAGGGATCTCCACGTAGGGTTGAGGGCCAATTAAAGCTGGTGACCATGAATTTTAAAGGTACCCTCCACTTGGTTCTACCATTTTTCTGTAGTGGTGCCCAGTAGGTAGGACCCAGCTACAGAAAAGGCAGGCCATTGGGTTCATCCAGGATGAGGGGCTTTTATCAGGCTCATTTTCCAAAAGGACAGTGGAGAAAGACAATTTAAGACATGGGCCAGAAAGTGATGAACCATAGATTTGAACTAGACAGGGAGGCTAACAGACAGGACAAGCTTCAGACTGGTTGATAACTTAGGAGTTCCCATGAGGCCATGGAACTGGTAACTAGTAGGAGTTACTCAGGAAGAATGCTACAGAGAGGGCTCTGCATTTTGTCTCATCCTTCCTGCTCTATCAGCCACCCAATCTGGTCTGGTGTAGTAGCTTTAACTTCCTGGGTGTTGATGGCTACAAACTGAGTCTGAAACACTTACATGGCACCTGCACCCCATATATGTGTATATATATATATATATATATCCAGCTGCTTGCTGATCATATCCACTTAGACATACTATAAATACCTCCAACTGCACTTGACTAAAATTAAATTTCTCATTCATGGTTTCTCTCCAGTTAAGGTCAGCATCATCTGCCCAAGCCAGAAAATAGAGGTTATCCCAGATTCTTCTTTCCCACCCCCAACAACTTCCTGACATGCATCAAATACAAAAGTGATTTTACCACCACTCCTCACTTCAAACTTTACCTTTTAGCAGCCATCAGTGAATAGTTCATTATCAGTACTAATTCATGCTAAATTAGTAGTAGTTAGCAGCCTCCTAGGGGAAATGAGGTCTAGCATAGTACTAGATGAGAATAAATATTCAGTAGGATTTTTTTCTTTCCACATTTTATTACTTAAGATTCTGACCACCTATGAAAATTTATTTTATTTGTATTAATCTAATATACATCAGAAGTTTATGTCTTGGCAGTTTATATTGTAACTTCATGTTGTCAAACTATAACTATAATTCTGTAATTACATAGCAAATACTTAAAACGACATAATTTCTGCATGATGAAAGAAAACATTGCTAATTTGAACTCTTTTAGGTAGAGCAGATTGTCCATATTATGCTAAAACAGAACTTCTGGCAGACTATTTACAAAAGAATCTTCCTGATTTTCGGATACATAAAATCACACAACGTCCTGAGGTTTGGGAGGTAAGAAGCCTTTATAGTTTGTTAAACTTCCGGATGCACAGAAGGTATTTTCATCTGATTAAATATTAGCTGGTGTATTAGATTGGCTTCTGGTAATGACTGTTCATGTACTGGTGATATTTGAATTCCTGTAAACAAGTCCCTACTTACTAGTCTCAAAATAATATTTATGTTTTTTTCTAATACCTAGTAGAACAAATTCGAGCCTAATCAATACATAAAATAAATTCGACCTCATCCCCTGAAGAATCCAGGTAGCTTACACTGTGCTTGTTAACTTTTCATTCTCCTTAGTATTTATTTCCAGTGACTTATTTGGGATACCTTACCTTTCTTTAGGGCTGTGTTTCCCCAGAAACAGACTTTGAGATGTAGAATTTGGTGAAGGGGCTTTACTGGAAAGAGGTCTTGGGAAAAGCATCCTGAGAAGGAATGAGGGCAGGAGGTTTGGGTAAAGGGAGAAGTTGAACTTTAACACAGCTGCCACAGAGGGCTCAGCAGATCCCACAGTGAACTCTTCATGGATTTTCAGAGGTATTCCAAACTGAGGCAAGGTAGCTGAGCTTTTGGGCTCCCTCCTTGACCAGCCATTGAATATCAGCTGCCCCTGGGAAGGAACTTAACCTTAGGCAAGGCAATTTTCTTTGGCTGAGGTAAATTCCTAGAGAGAGAATTGAGTCAGACTTAAGTTGTCAGCCTCTAATACACCAGGTGCCTGAGAGAGTGAGTGCCTCATTTGTGAAGGGGAATCTGGAGCCTATGTGACAGCACTGGACACAGTCCACCTGTTGTGCCTTTTGGATCTACATGCTCCTTATAATCAGCGCACAACATCTTGGATTCTGGTTGCCATCTTTCCCTGGGGATCCACATACTCCCTATAATCAGTTGATACCTCCTCCAGGATTTGGGTTGCCATCTTTCCCTGGGGAAAGGTTATAAGAGAAAGGATAGTCAAATGAACTATAGTCTCCTCTGCTCATAGTTTTAGAGCCAAACTGACACTCATCACCTGTCTTCTCTCGCTCTTTTCTCTACTATCCATTATAGATTTCCCTCACTCTCTGCTGGTCTAGTCTTCAGCTAAGCTATCTCATCTGCTGGGTTGTTTAGTGCTCTGTTACAATAAATGTTCTCTGTTTGGCAGTGCCCACTGACCTCTATTATTTCAGGATTTTATCATCTCAATTGCCAGGGAGTTCAGGTCTGTAGTACCATGTCCTTCAACAGCCTTGGCCACAACGATATGGAAAAATGCTCAACATCACAGATTATTAGAGAAATGCAAATCAAAACCACAATGAGATACCATCTCATACCAGTGAGAATGGCTATTATTTAAAAGTAAAAAGATAGCAGATGCTGGCGAGCTTGTGGAGAAAAAGGAACACTTATACACTATTGGTGGGAGTGTATAAGATGGAAATATCCTTCAACCCAGAAATCCAATTACTGTGTATATACCCCCCAAAATATAAGTCATTCTTTTATAAAGACAAGATGCACATATATGTTCACTGCAACACTCTTCACAATAGCAAAGACATGGAATCAACCTAAATGACTATCAATGTTTGACTGGATAAAGAAAATGTGGTACGTATACATTAGGAAATATTATGCAGACATAAAAAAGAATGTTTGCTTTAAGTGAGATAAAGGCAGGCAGATCTTCAATGTCAGCAAGGGAAATTAGTTTCCAGGATTTTGTTTGTTAGGTAGCCTCATTACCCATACCTCTAATGGCATGGTTTTAAGACTGCTGCCATGTACTTTGTTGTTGCTGTCTGACTCTACTCAGATCTTGTCAATGGAAGGCCTAGCCTATACAAACTAGATAATGATAATTTAAGCTTTTTCTGATGAATATTATCTGAAATCTCCAAATAACTTTTGGCTTATTCATTCAGTCTGAACTACATAAACCATACTCAGATTTAAAAAACAATATCAAATTTTATATGCCCCTAAGACTGGAAATATTGCATGTATAAGAAGAATAAGGACAAAACGAGTTGAATTTTTAAAGAAAATCAGTTGACTTGGAAAATGTAACCTCTCTTTAAGCTAAACACTTGCATTCAAGGTCTCCTTAGGAAAAAGAGCAACTTTCGGTACCTTTATTTGGTCAATTAATTTGAGGAATACTTTCTTATCTAATTAATCTGTTACTAACATCATCAGTATTTTCTATATTTACATTTTACTCTTTAAAGACATCTAAATTATATTATGTATAAGTAGTGACATTAAAAACAACCTAGTATTTTAATGTTTGAATTCTAAAGCATGAAATTGAATTATCTGGCAGATTTAATATGTGACTTCACTTGGAATGTCATTCAACAGGATTGGCTAAAGGATGTGTGTGAAAAGAATAAGTGGAGTCACAAGAATTCCCCCATCATCTGGAGAGAGCTGTTGGATCGTGGAGGAAAGGGTTTGCTTTTGGGAGGATATAATGAGTTCCTGGAGCATGCCCAGGTATATAAGTTAACTTGACTTATCTGTTCTAACAATGATAATTCACTTACATTATTTTATTTTTCAGGTATCTTGCTTTCTGAGTCATTATCTCATGTCTCTTTTTATTGTATTTTGACTTTAAACAAAAAGTTTCCATTATAGTCAATTTCTAGTTATCTATTCTCTGATACCGACTTTCTCTTTCCCAATATTTAGCTTTACTATGATGTCACCTCTAGCATGACGACTGAGCTGATGAAGGTAATTGCTCAAGAGAACCTGAGGACACACATAGAAAAAGAGCAGGAGGAGGAAGCCCTGAAAACTTACGTCAACCCCTTGCAGGTCTGGATCACCAGGTGGGACAGTCAAATCCCAGGATTCATGAGATTGATGTTTAATAATTAGAAAGGACAATGAGATGGGATTAATTTCATGATGGAAGACTACTTGAGTGTCAGGTTTGAGATTTGTGTGTATGTATACTTACATGCATATATATACACACACACACACACGTATATATACACATATGCCTCTGTGTGTGTGTGCGTGTGTCCTCCATATAACTCATAAATGAGTTTTAGGTTTTACGCGCGCGCACACACACACACACACACACACACATACACACGGTCTAAAAACGACTCTATAGCTTGGCTGCTTTGCAGAAGCTCGCCCTCTCTGACTGTTGCTCCCTCCCTCTTTCTTACTTGCTAGAGCTTTCTTTGGCTTTTCTTTCTGCACCCACTCCCTCTCTATGACCCACCTCCCCACACTTTGCTCCCCTTTGCTTTTCTTCACCTGTGTGCTCCTCTTTGCTCCCAGTCTGGGCACATGCCGTCTTTGCTGTCACGCCCTCTCTCTTTCTTTCTTTACACTGTCTTTCTGTTTCTTTTGCTCTCTCTCCCCCTCTCCCTGTCCTTCCCTTCATACCTCAGTTTGTCTTTTGCACTTTCCTGCCCATATGCACGTGTGTATCCTAATATATACACTCATTTTAAAAACTGTTATTATGAAATATTTGAAATACAGAAAGGAATTGAGAATGATGTAATAAACATACATGATCCATCTTATTGCCCAGATTTAACAACTATCACATCTTCTTTACCTATGTTTCAAAGGATTAAATTGGTACAGATACTGTTGAAACCCCCATTGCACACCTTGCCACACCCACTGTGATTGCCAGAAATGCCCAGATGCGTTTCTGAACTTCCCATGGTGGGCATTACAGTTCACAGTTGATAGTCACAGCTGTAAACACCTGCTGAATTGTGGTTACAGATATACCATAAATAGCCTATGTTGATCTGAGCCATCTTTGTAAGGATTTTTCTGTGTAAGAATTGGAAAAGGCAGTCCTTCCTAAAAAAAAAAAAGTCATTACTGTGTAGATGAGGTTATATTTTTTTAAAAAAGAGCTATAGCTAACTGAAACTTATATCTTTATCTTTTTAGGGGGAAATATAAACATGTAATTACAGTAATATAATACAGTTTTTAAAAAATTTTTATTTCTGCATAGGGGGAATTCTGTTTTCTTCGAAAAATCTAATAAACAGGTATATTTTTTATTTGGGGACTGATTTCAGGTGGCCAGAGCAACGGACTGATTGGTAGTGAGAAGTTTCTGTTCTACTTTTGACTTCTGGCCTTAAAATGTCAATGCAGCTGTGTGTGTGTGCTTATTTAAATATGAAACCACCCTGTTGATGTACATGCAAAAATATCTATTAAGAATAAAGGCTTACAAGGGACAAAGGATGTAACTATTCACAATCCAGCTATGCATTTTTAACAGTGCTTCTACTCCTGCCTGCTACAACCTAATTCCCATATTAACGAGCGGTGAAGTGTTTGGGATGCAGACGGAAATCAGCATAACTCTATTTGACAACAAGCAGGCTGAAGAACATCTCAAAAGCCTAGTGATGGAGACCCAGGACCTGGTGTCTCCGGTCCTGCGCAGCATCTCCATCTGTACGACGGTAGAAGAGGCCTTCCGCCAGGCCCAGGTCATTGTGGTGCTGGACGACACCACCGACAAGGAGGTGTTCTCTCTGGAGGACTGCCTCCGAAGCAGGGTGCCTCTGTGCAGGCTCTACGGGTGCCTGATAGAGAAAAATGCTGATGAGTCCGTCAGAGTCATCGTGGGAGGGAAAACCTTCGTGAACCTGAAGACGGCTTTACTTATGACATATGCCCCACGCGTCGCACGCAGCATTATCGCGGTGGCACTGGGGGTGGAAGGTGAAGCGAAAGCCACACTGGCCAGAAAACTGAAGACAACTCCCTCATGTGAGTGAATGACTCTTTATGCTTTTGGTTTTGTTTTGAAACAACATAATTTCAAAGCAGCCAGGAAGAACACTGTCCCCTCTGGGAACATTCTGAGTATCTGGGATAGAAAGTGTAAAACAGACATAAAGAACTTGTGTGATTTGACTACTGTGCAAACTTTTTTTTTTTTTTTAACTGGCTGCTGACTTTTGTGTCTGACTTTTTCCATCATTACAAAAATCAACAAATATTTAGTAAGATATAATTTATATTATTCAGGTGATAATTTGATACTTGATATTCCATTTTCCCATTATAGTCGATTAAGGTAACCAGTGTTTAAAAAAATCCAAGCTATGTGCAAGTGGCTCTGCCCCATCTCTCACACATAAAACCTTGAGCAGTTTCCTCATCTGTAAAATGAGGATGTTAACAGCACCTATCTCCTAGAATGGATGTGAGGATTCAGTGAGATGTATTTCTAAAGTGCTTAGAAGAGTGTCTGGCACATGAAAAACATTTCCAAGCATGTGAAGCTTATCAATAGGATTATGATATCTGATCAGTTTCTACTCCTATTAATATTTGAACTGGTAAATATCTGAATCATCGAAGGTGAGACTAGATCAGAAAATGGATTGTTGTATTTGAAAAGGGAGATAATATTGGACGTATTTTAACTAATTTTGCCTTTACGTGGTGCAGGTGGCAACTGTATCCATTGAGAAGGGAAGGAGATGCCAGGCATTCTCTCAAGCAAAATTGGAAAGACAATGAAATGTGAGCCTAGAATGTTCCCAGTTAGAATAAAAAAGGCTTCAGTGAACCCCTAACATTATAGCCAGAGCTGTATTATCTTTTTTGTTACAATGAAACTCTGGAAATCATAACTTCAGGTATTGCTGCATCCATATATTTAGTATTTTATCCCCAACATCACTACAACACTTAACCAAATTGATGCTAAAGTTATTCAATAGGAAACGAAAACGTTTTTCTAATATTTTATCTCTGTCATCAACCTTCTATATGTAGACATAGACTTATCATTGAAGGTGTGTGATACACTACTGAAAAGTATCAAGAAGAATCTAAAACAAGGTGTATGTGTGGGTGGGGTGGGGGGGGTGTTGATGAGGGTTGGGGGCTTTCAACCAGAAAGCTTCTCTCTTGTGGGTCTGCTGGTGCTGTGACTCTAAGCTCCACTCTACTCAAATCCAATAAGCATGTGAGAAGCAGAAAAACGAAAAATGGAGAAAAGTTGGTAAAAGGAAAAAGGCATTAGAGGGACAGTAGTTTAAGTAGAATTGTCAGTGAAGCAGCAAGGAGACACCCAGCAATGACAAAAGTTGAGCAAAACATCATGAAAGAGAAAAACCACCAAGGAAATTATTCAGGGATTATTCTAGATGCCAAGAGGGTGGCAAACCTTTTCAGAAAAGCACGATCCATGATAACCCCTAAGTTAAGTTCATAAATAACCCTATTTATTGGACCATGTGTATTGGCTCATCAGGACTCCTTCTGTTGCAAGAAAGTCAACTCAGAGTGACTGAAGTCACCAAGTACCATGGCTCACACCTGCAATTCCAGCTACTTGGGAGATTGAGGCAGGAGGATCCCTTGAGCCCAGGAGTTTGAGGCTGCAAGTGAGCCATGAGGCTGCAGTGAGCCTGGGCAACAGAGCAAGACCTCGACTCAAAACAAACAAACAAACAAACAAACAAAACAGAAAGCAAAAAGTGATTGAAATCAAATAAAGAATATTTTCCCTGCATAACTGAAAAGCACAAAAGGTAGTTCTTATTTCAGAAATAGCTGGATGCTGGGGCTCAAACCGTGGCACCAGGACATGCCTGTGTTCTCTCTGCTGGCCTGTCCCTCTGCTCTGCTCTCTGTGTTGGTCTCCTTCTCAGTTGAGCCCTAAAAAGTGGCATCCCAGACTTTCATGCTTATAGTTAACCTACAGCAGGAAAATTAGGGCTTTCTTTCCCAATTGGTTGTTCAAAAGAAGTACAAACTCATCGTCCAGGCTGGGACTGCATGCCTGTCTCCAAATCAATCATCATGGCCAGGAGGGTGGAATCTGCATCTAATGCCTATAGGTGGACCTAAGGCAGGACAGTCCCACCTGACACATAGGGACTGACATTGGAGAAGGAACAGTTATGTAAAGAAAAACCAGGATGCTCTTAATGGATGGAGGGGAGCGGGGGTGGGGGTGGCGGGAGGAAGGAAGAGAAATTCATACCAAGTTTTCGGAAAAAGGCAGATGTCCACTATCATTTTCTGTAGCATAATTTAGGGTGTTTAGAGCTATCAAGGGCCTCAAAGCTAATAAGAAAAATGAAACCCAGCAAGATTAAAAGGCTTCTTTAGGCTGTAGGAAGGATGCCTACCATATGCTTACCTGGTTGAAAAATTATTTTCCCCATATGGGATCCCACGAGCTCCAAACCCTGACTCCCACCCTCCCCTCCCTCCTACAACATGCAGCTCAGGGACCCGGGAGCACATCGCTACTCCCCTGAGAGTTGGGTGGTGGAAGGAGAACTAGCTATTCCTACTGCATGAGTCATTCTGATGAGGGCGGGAATCTCACAGGACGAAGGCAGGCAGTGATGGTGGGCTACACAAAATCTATTTCCCAGCCTCTTCTCCCCTAGCCTCTCTCTACTATAGAGGCTCAAACAATCACCCCTTTTCTTAGTTTCTTTGCAGCTAGGAGTGGTTGAGTGACCTAGTCTCTTTGGGGTCCCCTGGGAAGAATATTTCACTTTCTGAAAAGAGAAAAGGCAAAAGAGGAAGCTTCCACCCCATTCTTTTCCCTGTTGTCAGCTGCCCTTAAACGCAACTGTGTGTGAGAGAGTGATACTTGGAGCTGCTGCAGCCATCTTATGACCATGAGGGGAAGGCCAAGAGAATCACATCTCTGAGCTGTTAAACCAGCACATGTCACTGCCTACCATGACTTACCTGAGAAAAGTAATCCTTCTAGTTAGGACAAGTCAGTAGGATGTTCTGTGAGGTGAAGTCAAAAGCAATCTTATACAGGACAACAGGGAAGAAGTTACTCTCCACAGTAGAAAGCGGTGTGTACTTATAAGTGAATAAGTTTTTAGGCAAATAAATAAGTTAAATAAGTAAATAAAATTATTTATTTGCAGTTTTCATGCAACATTCCTAGACAGTTCACAATTATAAAATCGTATTGAATGCCAGTGCCTATTTCTCTCTAACCCCTATGGTCTTACTTCACTTTTCAGCATGTATCACTTTGTATAATACCTCATCCACTACCCACCATCCCTAGAATGTTGTAAGGATTTGAGCTGATTTGTTTTCTTCTAAACCTAGTACCATTTCATAACTATTTGTTGACTAAGATGTGCCCAGGGTTCTCATTTTGCCAGAGCTGAAACCCGTCAGAGAGTTAAGTGATTTGCCCTAATTTCTATTCTAGTCTAGAATCAAGAACTCCTTGTCAAAATCAAAGCATATTAAAAAGTCCTTTCTCTCTCAACCTCTCTTGACTTCTCACTCACTCTGTCTCTACCTTTTGTCTCTTAATGGCAAGCGAAGTCAGCACAAACACCAGTAATATACTTTTCAGTAGCAGTTTCTTTCAGGGAACATTTCTTTATTTCTGTAATTTAATTATATACCATACCATTCATAGAACATTATTAGGGACTGCCAAACTATGATAATTAGGGAGGTGATCCACGCATTTTGCACAATTTTAGGAATTATAAACTTAGATTCATTTTATAGAAAAAGGACCAATCCTAAAACAAACATACATACAAACAAAGAGTAGGCTTTAGGTATTTTTTATATGAATATACATTACTGTGATTTTTTAAAAAACTTTCTATTCTTCACAGACATTAAAGATGTGATAATTTGGGGTAATATCAGTGGAAATAATTACGTTGATCTGAGAAAAACAAAGGTATACAGATATGAGAGTGCCATTTGGGGACCTCTTCATTATTCACGCCCTCTTTTAAACTTGATTTTTGACAGGTATGGTATATTTTTAAGTGAAGTATGCTGACAGTGTTAAATGTATAATGCTTGTAAATTTTTAAATCATTTTATATATCTTTGCATAAAAGTAACTTGCGTTGCTCACACTCATATTTGTTCATGCTGTCTACTGAAGAAACAGAAAACTCCACAGAATATCAACTAGGTAATTGATTTTGAAATTACAAATTTTTATATTTCAGATTGTCCAGCAGCTCATATATTCAAGTAAGGTTATCTCTAAAGCAAGCATATGTAAGGGAATCTTACTTTGTGTAAAGACCGAGCTGTCTATCCAGGTTGAAGTTAGTTGAAATATTTTCAAGAAAAGAATTAAGATGATGAGCAGGCACAGGCCAGGCTGGGCGTTCTGTGGCAGGAGGCAGAAGCAAGAGGTGGTGAGGAACACAGTCTTAGAACCAAGCCTCCCAGGCTGGGATCCTCACTTAGCCAGTTATTAGCTGTGTGACTTTAGAGAAGTTGCTTAGCCTCTCTATGACTCAGTTTTTCATCGGCAAAGTGGAGATGGTAACATAATAAGGACCCTATAGGGTCTTGTGGAAGATGAAATGGATTACTCCAGATAAAGGACTTAGAGGTGTGTCTGGTGTCTGCACAGTAAACACTAGCAACTATGATGAGGCAGAGGAGAAGCGGGAAGGAGCACCTCTGAAGCATTTTTCTAAACTTTGCAGCATGTTCCCAGTTGTAGCATTTTCTTTCCATTGCCTCTTGCCTTCCTTTTCTTCCTCAGACTGTGGAACTTCACCCCTGCCTAGGGACGATGTGTCCTGAGTTCGCTATTTCAAAGCATGATTCCTCTGCATTTGCTGCCCGGGCAAGACCAGTGTTGCACAGAGCTGTGTCATGCTGAGTTAGCAGAGGCTAACTGGCTGGACTATTCTCTGAGTTTAGGCTTTAGATCATAAAAACTTAATTACTTTCCTATTTCTCAACATGAATGCAGCTTGAGCACCCCAATCCAAAAATGAGAAATCTGAAATGCATCAAAATCTGAAACTTTTTGAGCACCAACATGATGCCACCAGAGGAAAATTCTACGCTTTGCTTTCTGATGGTTTAATTTACACAATATTTGTTTCATGCACAAAATTATTAAATATGTTATATAAAATTACTTTCAGGCTATGTGCATAAGGTGTATGTGAAACATAAACTTTGTGTTTAGACCTGAGTTCCATCCCCATGATATTTCATTGTGTATATGCAAATATTCCAAAATCTGAAACACTTCTGGTCCTAAGCATTTAGGATAAGGAATACTCAACTGTAATTCAGTGTTTTATGAAATTATTTTGTTTAAAGTGAAGGGTACTACTGGTCGCAAGATAATGTCTACACAGGATAAATTCTTTGTAATAAAAGTAATGGTTCTTGTCATTTTTAGCCACTTTTCTATGTTCCATATTTATATTATCATATTTTCAGTTTGACATTTTGGGACTCCTTTCTGCTACATTTCATTGTTTTTCAGTTGACTTTTTATGGGGATTGAAGACACTTGAGGAAAGACACTAGGAATAGTCATATTTCTATTTTTGACTGTGGATAAGGTTTCTGAAACTTAGTTCCACTGACCAGAGAACATCTTTTTTCACTCTCATTCCTCTCTCCATTGTAAAATTGTTTCTCTCCTTACAGTGAGTGGGTAAAAAGAGAATTTGTGGCAACTCTCAAAAACTTAACTGCCACAGGAAGACAATTTGGAGGCATTTTGGCTGCACACAGTATAGCCACTACATTGAAATACTGGTACCATGGCTCACCGCCTGGGGAGATTGTATCTTTAGGAATATTGAGTGAAGGTAAATCTGGGTTTTTCATATCTTGTAAAATCTTAATGCCTCTATCTATGCCTTGTGCTCCTAATTCTGTGTCCCCACCTGTCTAGTTCTTCACATGGTCTATAAACTGTATGGACTTTTACAATTTCATAATCATTCATTCATTCAATTATTCATTCAGAAAGTCAACAATATTTTGTATGAATGCATTGGAAATACACATAGGAGTTAAGACCTGGCCTCTGCCTTCAGGAAACCTACAGTGGAATAAACAAGAGCCAGATACATAAATGAAATCGTCTTGTTAGGTTTTCCTAGCAAGAGATAAAGGGAAAGCAAGGTCAATTCCAGGGAGGAAGCAGGTGGAACCAGGACAGGCTTCATAAAGAAGGTGACATTCCAGTAAGACTAAAGTATGAGGAATGTTGACCTAGAAGACAAGTGTGGAAAGGACACTAGGCCCAGGGAGCCACAGGAAGACAGATATAAAGGAAGGATAGAGAGGGGCACTACGGGACCTAGACCTTAGGGTACCAGGCAGCACTGGGTATGTGGAAAGATTGCTCTCCATCCACAAATACTGCATATAAACTTTTACAGCCCTAATGTTTTAATCAACTAAAAACTATTTGAAATACTTCTGCCATTTTTACAAAACAGGAAAGAGAATAGCTGATGTTCTGTCATCTGTAAGGTCTATCTGAAGCATCTTTTCCCTTTGTGTTCTACTTTCTCCCTCAGAAGCTAATTCACTCCCAGAGCTGCAGACCTCCGCCTCTCTGCTGAGCTTTGGCTTGTGAAACATTGTCACCTGGATGTCATGTTGTCACTTCCATCCAACATATACCAAACTGAATCTACTACATTTCTTCCCAATCTGTTCCATCTCTTGTATTCTTTATAAGTAGAACCACCATATTCCCTATTGTTTCAGTGACTAGTGCAGGTTAAGAAATTTGAAATCCCTCATGTCAGAATTAATCTATTTCTCTCCTCTATATCCCCACATAGCATTTTGCTCCCCTATCACAGAGAATACTATAGTCTGCCTGCTTTTGATAGTGTGATTAGTTGCATATGTCCCCTTCGTTGTGGCACCCTGGGAGCAAAGGCTTTTTCTGGGCCACCTGTCTGCATCTTCACAGGAGCAGCATTTTATATGGTAGACACTCAATGAGTCTTGTTCAATTGAAGTTAAGGTGCAGGAACATTGCCATGGTGTGAATTCAAATCAGCAAGTTATCTTCTTAGGGAAATAGGCATTTAAAACCTTACCTTTATTTGTAGAAAGAAAGTTTAATTAATCTCTGTAGGAATTGTATTCAAAAATTAATAACAGAATACTTGGGGGAGAGGGGTAAATGATCATTCTCTCTCTCTCTGAAACCATACTGAATAGGTAAACCCTCATATCTCATCTGTCCATAAGGCTAGCTCTTCACAGATTAAACAAAATATAGCATAACTTGAGGATCTGTTTATCCCTCTAAGGAAAAGTCTTTTAGATCTTGGTTTCTTAAATGTCCTCAATTTTTTTTTCCTAGTGACATTTTTGTTGTACAGAAGGGCAGGAATAATTTCCTTATGTGATTGAGGTACCAGAAATGGGGACAATTTTGTCTGAATGGTGCTCAGTTAATAATAAATATTGTCAATCTTTTTACTTAGAGCACATCCAAATATAAGTGTTTCTGTATATCTTAAAGAAATTAAATGTTTTATTAAGCGAAGGATGACTTCTGCCTAAGATGTAGAAATATGTAAAGAAAATCATCCCACATGAAACAAACACATGACAAAATAACCAAATTTCCTGCTTCCCCTCCTTTCCCTTCCCAGTTCTTTATACTCAGGCTATATGACTGCCATAGCAGGCGAGAAGACTAGAAAGCCAGATGGACAAACGACTTAGGCTCATGGGCTACATAGGGGGTCAGGGATAAAGCTATGCAGACAGACAAAAAGAATGTAGACAAGATTCAAAAGAGAAAGACTGCGTTCTTTTGTTCTATGGCTCCCACATTAGTGTTGAATTTGGAAAGCTCTTTAATAAATTTATATGATTATTAAAAAAAAAAAGAAAGACTACATTAGCCTCTGGATGTGAGAGAAATACAAATAGCAGAATTATTAGAACTTGGATAGTTGCTCAGTCAGTTCTTCTAGAGTGAGTGTTTCAGTCTTCCTTGGAGAAGAATTCCCAGAAACTTAATTCTATCTTTATCATTAAAAATCTTGTATTATGTCTGTTTTTTTCTACAGTGCTTAAAAGAAAAGGCGTATGTTTCTAAGTTCTGCTGTGTTACTTTGCTTTGTGTTTGCTCACTGTAGGCCAGTTTGGTATTCCTGAAGGAATCGTCTTTTCTATGCCTGTGAAATTTGAGAATGGAACTTGGGTGGTTCTTACAGATCTCAAAGATATCGAAATAAGTGAACAAATAATGACCAGAATGACAAGTGATCTAATTCAGGTAATGTCAGAATAGATGCAAGGGGACTGACTTTGATAATGACCTTAAACTGATTCCTCTAGGCCAAGGCATACATTGGTTTTTCTATGGATTCTATTTTTTTTTAATTCCTAAAAATAATGGGATTATAAATGTTTGAAAAAAATCAGTGAAAGAACACTACTCATTTGGTTATACAATTTCCGGTATGTTAAAAACATTTATTTGTTATTTCAAGAATCAAAGTGTGTTTCTGTTAAAGAATAATCAAGTTAGGAATGTGGTCATTTAATTCTGTGATTATAAAATTTTTCAACAGGAGAAACTTGTTGCACTTGGAGACAAGATACATTTTCAGCCATACCAATCAGGTAACCTCTTAGATGTGATGTTTTATTGGACTGCTATTAAAAGAGTATTAAATATGTTATAACTGAATCACTGTTAATATGAATAACTCCCATTTATATTTTATCATTTCTAAACTAAATTAATGACAAACTGCTAAGTTCCATGTGTTCTTTGACATAAAACATCTCATGAGAATGTTAAAGAAAACACAACTTAAGAACACTATGATCTAATAAGTGTTGCAGGTATCATATTAATTTCCTGGGACTACCATAGCAAATTACCACAAACTGGATGGCTTAAAAACAACAGAAATTTATTTGTTCACAGCTCAGGAGACTAGAGTACCTGATGTGAGGTGTCAGCGGGGCCACACTTTCTCTGAAGGCTCTAGAGAAGAATTCTTTCTTGCTTTTTCTAGCTTTGGGTTGCAGTGCTTGCATTCTTGGCTTGTTGCTGTATCACTCCAATTTCTGCTTCCCTCTTCACGTCTGTCTTTCCTGTGTGTGTTTCTGTGTTTCCAAATCAATCTCTCTCTCTCTCTCTCTCTCTCTCTCTCTCTCTCTCTCTCTCTCACTGTCTCTCAGGATACCAGTCATTGCATTCAGGACCTGCCCTAAACCAGTATAACCCCATTTTAAATTGAGTATATCTGCTAAGACTCTATTTCCTATAAGATCACATTTATAGATACCAGGTATTAAGACTCCAACATATCTTTTTGGAAACACAATTTTTTTTTTTTTTTTGAGATGGAGATTCGCTTTTGTTACCCAGGCTGGAGTGCAATGGCACGATCTCGGCTCACCACAACCTCCACCTCCTGGGTCCAAGCAATTTTCCTGCTTCAGCCTCCCGAGTAGCTGGAACTACAGGTGCGCACCACCACGCTCGGCTAATTTTTTGTATGTTTAGTAGAGACGGGGTTTCACCATGTTGACCAGGATGGTCTCGATCTCTTGACCTTGTGATCCACCTGCCTCAGCCTCCCAAAGTGCTGGGATTATAGGCATGAGCCACTACGCCTGGCCTGGAAATACAATTTAACCCACAGCACCAGATTTATTTTAGATAACTTTATTAAAAGCCAATAAATTTCAATAAGCTTATTTTTCTTATTGGTATTTTCTCCAATCATAAAGAAATAAGGAAGGGCTGACATCTTTTCTTTGCCTTAAAGATGATCTCAAGTATGGATATATACATGTAGAAATAAATCGATTTATTTATGCAAAGGGCTTTAGCCAAGTGTCTTTTGGAGCCCAGTATTTCTTTCTCTGCTAATGTTTATGCAGTACCAACTATAAGCCAGTAGCAGGAGCTGGAAATACAGAGGTGAATTAGATAGACCTGATCTTGCCCTCTTGGAACCTGCAGTCCATCAAGGAGCTGGCCACACATTACGTAGATGACTGCAATTGTGGCATGTCAGAGGAGTAACTACTGGCTGCTGTGCTGTCAGAGCTCATGCCTGGGGATAGAAGGGAAGAACCTGAAGCAGGAAAGTACATATTAACTTGTTTGGAAAAACTGTGGAAAAAGTGTGTGTGGCTGAAGCCAGAAGAGATGGAGCTGAGAGATACAGCCATGAGGAGTAGATGTGAGAGCTACAGGTTTCCAGATGGAGAGAACCTGGTCAGGTGTGGGATTAGTTTGCAAAATATCCTGGAATAAGGCAAGACTGTTTGCAGAAAGACTGGTATTGGGGGATAGTTCAGTGACACAAGGAAGAGATGGTTACAACCAAGACCAAAGGCAGTAGAAATTTGAGAGATGTTTAGGAGGTAGAGTTATCAAGACTTGCTGATGTATTGGCTCTGGTGAATCCCAAAGTTCTTCTAGCTGATCAACTGGGCAGATTTACTACTGATAATGGGAAAATGGTAAAAGAATGAGAGAGAATATGAGAATGTGGGAAGTCTGTGTATGTGTGTGATGTGTGTGTGTGGTGTGCATGCACTTCTGCATGCACATGTATGGATGGAAGAAGGAGAAGCATGGTGCCAGAGTATAAAAAGCATGAGTGTCATTTCTTACATTTTGATTCTGAAATACCTGTGTGAGATCTAAAATGGAAATGTCACATGGAGAACTGCACACTTCCTGGAGCTCAGAAAGATCTGGACTACAGTTGCCAAAGGAGGAGGTGTTACCTCATAAATAGAAATGGAGCTATCTGTATGATGGAGATTGTCCAGAGAGAAGGTGAGAGGGGAAAACTTGGAGGAACTTAGCCCGACCTGGTTAAGTGGAACAGGAGCAACTGACAGATGACCATGATGGGCGGTCAGAGAGACAGGATAAGCCCCTGCAATTTGATGATGTAAAAGACCTGAGGACAGAGGGTGTTTGAAAAACAAGGGCTGGTCTACAGTGTCAGATGCTATTGGTGTATCAGATAAAATGAGACCTGAAAAATACCCAGTGGATGTAGGACAAAAGTCATTCGTGACTTTGATGACACCAATTTTGTGGAATGGAGAGGGCAGAAATGAGACCAAAGTAGAAAGGAAGGTCCCTAGCTTTAGAGGCCAGAGTGTCACTTTGGAGCTGGTGTGCTTAGTGCTATAGGCCCAAGGAATGTACCATATACCATGACAGCAGTGGGAAGGGCACCATCAGGACTCTGACATGATGGGAGGACTTTCTGGAGGAGGTGACATCAAAACTGAGTTATGAGAGGAAGGAAGGCCAACAATCAGAGGCATGACAGGAGTAAATGGGAGAATTCAATTCAGAGAAAGGAATGTATTCAAAGCTAAAGAGAAAAGAAAGAACTTTCGAAGAACTGCCAATTTGCTTTATCTGGAAAATAGTGTTTGAGGAATGTCAGGAGGCCAGAAGGTAAATAGGGGCCTTGCTAAAACCAATGAAAGATTTTAGGCAGAATAGGGACAGGAGCAGCTTCTAATTTAAAATGATCACTGTCTGCAATGGGAAGAATGAATTGGAGGGGGAGAGAGGAAGCAAGAAGACCAGCTTTGTTGCAGGCAAAGAAATGATGAGGACCTTAAGCAAACAGTGGCTGTGGGGATGTAGAGAAAGAGTTAGATTTGCAAGAGATACAGTGGAAAAAACTTGACCAATCTGAGATTGAGGATAACAGAGCACTCCAGAGAGTCAAGAATGCCCCTGATGTTTTCAACACCTCCACACATGGTCATGGTGTTATGTGAGGCAGAACTTCCCAAACAGTGGGCCACAAATGAATCGAGTATGTGGAGCTCTTGATATCCTCAGTTCTAGGGGCAGAATCTGGGGCAGCTGGAGTCCTCGAGCTGGTTGCCTCTCTTGTCCTTGTCTCTTACTATGTGTACTGAGTCATGAAAATGATTGGGAAGGTGGAATTAATGTAAGGAATAAAGGAGAAGGAGCAGATTTTCAAGAGGCATCTAAGTGAAAGTGTCTGGTAGGTTACAGACACATGTCTCTGGAGTCCAGGAGAGAGCTCTGGGCTGGACATGAGGACGCAGAGTTGTCAGCAAGTGGTAGTAATAAGAATAAACTGATAACCATAGTGACCTCCTGGAGGAGGACCTGAGTGGCAGGGGAGGGAAGACTTCTGCAGTTTAGGGTTTCTGGTGCCTCTTGGATTTTGTTCCATGTGCATGATACATGTATCCAAAAATGCGAGGAGGCGGATCGGTATCTGGATGGTTGGATGTTAAAGTCTAACTACTATTAGAGAGGAGAGGGTGAAGATAGAGGGGAGTGAGCAGAAGGGTTCTCTGCTTGAGTAGAACTCAAGTGCCAGAGCACAGGGTCACCTCCAAACCGAAAGTGTCTCTGCTGCTGAGGCTGGAGGGAACGGGAGAGGTGATGGATGCAGATGGAAGTAAGTGTACAGGATGGAGGAGTGAGGAACAAAACAGGCAGTGGGACCAGGTCCAGAGGGCCAAAGACTCAGAGAAAGCCTGGGCTTGTGAGGAAGGACACGAAGGTTTGAAATACAGGCATGTGTGCATGTATTTGGTCAATGGCAGATGGTGTAATACCACAGTGGTTCCTTAACATAATGGGGTTAAGCAATTCCTTCCACCTTGTGACGTTCTGATGATCCTGATCCTATGTAGGCCTAGGCTAATAATGTATGTGTTTGTGTCTTCATTTTTAACAACAACAACAAAAAATTACAAAGAAAAAAGTAATTTTTAGGCTGGGTGTGGTGGCTCATGCCTGTAATCCCAGAACTTTGGGAGGCTGAGGCGGGCAGATTACGAGGTAAGGAGTTCGAGACCATCCTGGCCAACATGGCGAAACCCTGTCTCTACTTAAAATACAAAAAATTAGCTGCGTGTGGTGGTGGACGCCTAGAACATTACTGTATACTACTGTAGACTGATAAACACCATGCACTTAGGCTACACTGAATTGATTTAATTTTTTTTTCTTTCTTCAATAACAAATTAACCTTAGCTCACTGTATTTTTTTTTCCTTTATAAGTTTTGGGTTTTTAAAAACCCTTTTCTTTTAGCACTTAGCTTAAAACACAAACATCTTGTACAGCTATACAAAAATGTTTTTTTCTTTATATCCTTTTTCTTTATATCATTTATGCCCTTTTATAAGCTTTTTTCTATTTTTAAAAATTACTTTGTTTTTTTTGAGATGGAGTCTCACTCTATCGCCCAGGCTGGAGTGCAGTGACACAATCTTGGCTCACTGCAACCTCTATCTCCCAGGTTCAAGCAGTTCTCCTGCCTCAGCCTCCCGAGTAGCTAGATTTTATTTCTGTTTATTACTTCCTTTTTTATCCAATCTAGACTCTCATAGCTAAGGTGACTTTGGTATTCCACATTGAGCATAACAGTGGAAAATGAGTCCAGTTCACTTAGCATTTGGGAAGGAAGAAGATGAGGCAAAGAAATTGAAGGTCATTGCAAGAAAGCAGATGAAGTAATAGACTTTGGGGGTCTAGGTTGGTTAAGGAAGTAAGTAATAAATAGAAATAAAATAAAATAAATTAGCTGGGCATGGTGGCACGTGCCTGTAGTTTCAGCTACTTGGGAGGCTAAGGCAGGAGAATCACCTGAACCAGGGAGGCAGAGGTTGCAGTGAGCCAAGATTGCACCACTGCACTTCAGCCTGGGTGACAGAGTGAGACTCTGTCTAAAAAAATAAAATAAAAGAGTTCAAACAAGGGGGATATTGAAACTAACAACCAGGATGGGTACAGATCCCAACCAATTAAAACAGTTGCTGCCTTTCAGAATGGACTAACTGATCAAAATAAACAGAGAGGTCCATTGGTCCAAACCAGAGAGGGTTGAGTGAAGTCAAAGTAGGGGAAGTGAGGGAGGAAGTGTGGGGTTTGGGAGTTCAGAGGAGGTTCTGTCTGACAGCCAAGTTACCAGGAGTGGGCCAGACCAAAGCCCAGGGGATGCATGAAGTGAAGGTGCAGGCACAGAGGGATATATAGTGCACATTTGGTTTACCTCAAATTCTTTTATTCTTTTATTCTCAGAATTCAGAGGCCCTCTGTGTGCTTCCTGCACTAGGCAGAATATAGCTTCAAATTCCTTTCACGGGAGTGGGCTACAAAGCAGTCATTCCAAAACTGACTCCATTGACTTGCAGATAGTCCTAGCTGTCCCAAATATACTTGTATTATAAACAGTTTTGTGAGGAAAAAAAAAAAAAGACTTGATTTTATGCCGTGTATTAACAAATAACAAAGGACAAGGGGTGTGTGTGTGTGTGTGTGTGTGTGTGTGTGTGTGTGTGTTCATGTGTGTATTTGATTGATCTTAACTTTGTCATCTTTGGCTCTTGCTCTCCTAAGGAAACACTCTTCCAGGTATTCCAAAATCAGAGAATTGAAAATAATCGGAGGTTCCCACCCTCTCACAGTGTGGAGATCTCTGCTTACTAATATATCAATGAGATTATTCTTGTGTGAGGTTTGTTTAATCTCTTCAATTAATGCAATTCTGACTTTCCTGATTTTAGAAACTGAACTACATACAAAAGATAGAAGGATCTCCTCACTCATCACAGATGACAGCCAGGAAGGACAGGTCTCAGATGGTAGGTATACTTACACTCAATGTTTTCAAATGCCCTTTTTATTCAAGAGTTAACACTACATTTCAAAGAAAGTTTGATCACCCACCAACTATAAAGTGGGAGTCAAGTCATCCTATATTTAAAAATAGGATTATATTTAAAATCTGTTTAAATCTTTGGAGAAAAATACCAGATATTCCCTGAGCACCATCTATCTGCTGGTCACTGTGAGAGACACTGGGGCCACAAGAAGGAAATGATGGCCCCACTCACTGGGGAAAGGGGCCATGAGAATTTGAAAAGGTAAATCCCAAGACACACCATGAATTAAATGGCTTCATAAAATGAGGCAAGATAGATGAAAAGGAAGGAAAGTACATAATAAGTAGTCTAAAAATTTATATGAGGGCTGGGCGTGGTGGCTCATGCCTCTCTAATCCCAGCACTTTGGGAGGCTGAAGCGGGTGGATCATGAGGTCAAGAGAAAGAGACCATCCGGGTCAATATGGTGAAACCCCATCTCTACTAAAAACACAAAAATTAGCTGGGCATGGTGGCATGTGCCTGTAATCCCAGCTACTTGGGAGGCTGAGGCAGGAGAATCGCTTGAACCCGGGAGGCGGAGGTTGCACTGAGCCAAGGTCGTGCCACTGCACTACAGCCTGGTGACAGAGCAAGCCTGTGTCAAAAACAAACAAACAAACAAACAAACAAAACCCCTCACATGAAAAGGAGAAGCCTTGTATAAAGGAAAAAATTTAATTATATCTTGACATCTAGTTGGGACGTAGGATGGCCCAAGATCTAAAAAATGGGCATTTCTTCAGAAACTGAGTCTGTTTGGTCCTGCAATATGAAAAATGTCTAGAGATCTTATGTACAACAATGTGCATGTCTTCTGAATACAGTGTCTTCCGGATGCAAAGGATGGATGAGGCTGGAAAAGTAGGTAGGGGCTATCTGTTGTTTGGCTGAATGGCTAGTTAGCAGTATGACTGGTGGATGGTGGATGGCAGGACTGTTGATGAAAAGAGTCAAATTCTGTATAATATTTTAAGAGATTTATTCTGAGCCAAATATGAGTGACCATGGCCCATGACACAGCCCTCAGGAGGTCCTGAGAACACGTGCCCAAGGTGGTCGAGGTACAGCATGGATTTATATATTTTAGGAAGGCATGAACCATCAGTCATATACATTTAAGAAATACATTGGTTTTGTTCAGGAAGGTGGGACAAGTCAAAGCTGATGGGGTGGGGATGGGGCTCCAGGCTATAGGTAAGTTTAAACATTTTCCCACAGACAATTGGTTGAATTTGTCTAAAGACCTGGGATTGATAGAAAGGCATGTTCAGGTTGAGATTAAGGACTGTGGAGACCAAGTTTTATCGTACAGAGGAAGCACTCAGATAGCAGACGTCAGAGAGAGCAGGTTATAAATTGTTTCGTATCAGAATTAAAAGGGTGCCTGGCTCATAATTGATTATCTCCTGGATCTTCCAAGGAAGGAAGGAAAACAAAGGAGAGAGGGGATTCTCTATCGAATGTGGATTTTTCCCACAAGAGGTTTTGCAGGGCAATTTCAAGGTACTGCAAGGAAATATATTTTGGAGTAAAACATTTTGATTTGATTCCTTGTTATGGCAGAGTCAGATTGGAAGGTAAGTCACAATATAAAGGATTAAATAAAACACATCTGATTGAGAATTTATGGTTTGTAGGGCATGACTTCCCTTTAGAAAGGAATTTGAGCAAGACAAAAAATCAGAGCTTAGTCTTCAGGACAAAGCACAAAATAGATGGTGTCAGGCTTAGAGAATTAATCCAGCTGTAACATGAGCCCTACAGGGACTATCGACAGCCCAAATCACTGTACTTACAAGTGTGGTGAACTTAGTCCCACCTAGACAGTGTCTCTCTAGATATCTGAGTGGCGACACTATTATTGCATTTGGCCTAGTTGGCATTAAGCAACACTTCAAATCTGAGGGCACCAAGGCCCTTGTGAGAAGTGAGAAAAACTGTAAGATCTGTCATGAAGAAGGAGATGGCAGCTTTCCAGGGTCGGGGAAGAGAAGCCAAATTGTAGAATGTGTATTCCGGAGACTACTGACATCAGAACAGTTTCAATTGCTAATTACAGTTTAGGTTCTTAGACCCCTACCCGGATAAATAATAAGCTTATGCAGATGAAAGAACTTTAGTCATGATAAAAGAGAGAAAATGGGTTGATGTAAGGAGATCATTTGTTGAATAAGCATAGGATCAAATATATCCAATTATAGTGTTTTCCGTATTTTGGGAAACATTTCCATAACCTTAGGTGGATTGTAAAAAAAAAAAAAACAGTGATCAATGAAATCAGTTTGATCACTAGAATTTTTCTCATTGAAATAGAATGAAATTGATAAGAGTAAGGAGATCAGATTTCCCCCCACCCCACAATGAACTAGAATAGTATAGAAAGAACAAACAGCAAGTAAGAAAAACAAGAAAAGGGTAAGTAGGACTAGATTAGTGTATTAGTCAGGGTTCCCTTAAGGGACAGAACTAATAGGATATGTAGATCCATATATATAAAAAGGAGTGTAAGTATTAACTTACATGTGGTGGGAATCACCACCCCTTCGTCTTTCAAGTCCTTGATAGTGGCACTAATCTCTGCAACCCCTCCAGGGATAAGATATTATTTTTAATTTACTATTTTTCTAGTAGAGAAAGCTCTTTTGGCTTCCATTTGGCCTTTCCTACCATAATAGCCCTCACCCTACCAGCCGGGGAGCCATTGTGGGGATTCTGCCAGCTACTAAGTATGTCTATGCCAATTATGGATTCTGGCACTGGGGAAATGACCACAGGATGAGTCTGGTGACCTACTGGACCCACTGTAAGTCAGATCTGAGCTAAAACTCCTCACCTCCATAGGCCCCTACTTTAACTGGAAGACTGCAATGATGTTTTGGGTCCCCTGGAATCAATGTCAGCTCAGAGCCAGTGTGGAGTAGTCCCTGAAATGTCCAATTATTTCCCTTTCCCCAGTGCACATTACCCTGGTAAAAGGCCAGAGGTCTCCCTGGGGAAGGGTGGGGGAAAGATTCACTGCATAAATTGTTGGTAATGTAGTGGGGTCCTTCCTCAAGGGGGTCCAGTCTCCCCTTCATTCAAGGGGTTCAGGGTCTGTAAATGGGCTCAAATCTGGAAATTGATTGAGGGCTGTGATTCTCTTTTTTATAATTCAAATGAGTCTTTTGTTCATTAGACCCAGATGATTTATGCTTTATAAATTAAGTAGAAATGCAGTAGGCTTCCTATCATTTTCACATCTAGGATCATCGTGGTCAATTAGCCAATGCTAGAGCTCTACATGAGTCAGACTATTCTCATTGCTGTTTTGTCTCTGTTGCCCATAATGGTAGTTACATCCATCTTGCCTTTGAAAGTTGGTTAATTGCCACCAGTTGGTCCCTGCTACCTCGGGATCCAGTTATTCCCAGTGTATTTAAGTTTTGTAGTTGAGTGGCTGTGGTTCCTGCTGTTAGATCTGACATACGGAGAAGAGCAACTACAGGGCTCTTCAAAGATTCAGGTGCTGCTCTCACAAATCTATTTCACAAGGCCTTTGTCAAGGGTGTATCTTCTGGACCCTCCCAGCTGGGATGAATAGGTCTAAAGTGACGAATCCACTCTACCACCCTAATCTCCCTAAGCCTTTGGATCCCTTCCATTAAACCAAGGGAGATCAGGCATTTCCAGCTCACTCACAGTGGGCCATCTTCTAATCCATATTTCAGCTAACCAAGCAAATAAACTATTAGAAACTTTTTTAACTCCCTGAGCTGCAACATTAAATACAGAGTCCCTACTTAATGGGCCCAAGTCAATAAATTCATCCTAATCCAACTTCCACCATTATCCCATACCCTTAATATCCATTCCCATGCCTGTTCTCCAGATTTCTGTTTAAATAAATTAGAGAACTCAAGCAGTTTCTTTTTGAGTGTAACTCACTTCCTCATGGGTCATATCTGAACCTTACCTCTAGGGGCCTGCTGGGACTTTAGTTATAAGTCTAGAAGCAAACAGAGGTGTTGAGGGCGACTCCTGAGGAGAATCAACACTATTTTGCCTGGCAACTGCCTCGGAAAGGCCATCAATGTTGCCTCAGGCAGTACAGGGTTTATCTCCTAAGACAAAAGGTGGAAAGGCTAATGGCAGCATGGGTAGGGAAGGGAATATTGCCGCTACTGGGTATGGGGAAGCTGTTCCTTCTGGCAAAAGTGGTTCATCAGAGTTTACAAACTCAGTGTCTCTAGCTTCATCAGGGTCCTCCCACACATCCCCATTCGAAGTTGCAGGGTCCCATTCTCTTCTAATCAATGCCCTCACTTTAACAGTATACACCTGGTAAGGCTGTGCATGCACCTTTTGTTGCAGGTCAGCCACTCACGTAAGAGCTTGTGTCTGTTTTTCTATAATTTCAGCTCTTTCTCTACAGGAGATAACACTGTCCCTCAGGGCAGTCTTCACAGATTTGAGGCTCAGTATCTGCTTCTGAAGTCAGGAGACAGCATCATTTTCTTTTGCCACTTTGTCCACTGAACTTAGGAGCAACTAAGCAGCTTCATTATGTTTCTTTGTTCACCACATATAGTCAAAGGCATTATGTATAGTCACTAAACTCCCTGCCTGTCATGAATCAGGAGTGTCAGATGCATTTATTTTGCATAACTCTAAACAGTTCATACCAGGGGCTATCAGTTTTCTCCATACTATTAGAGTACTTAGTAGTTTGAGGTCTACTCATACTAAGCAGCCAACTCCAGATACCCCAAAACCAATGAAAGAAACTCCATCCTTAATATTCTGTTTCTCTAGAACCACTCCTAGTACCAAACTCTCTATTAGTCAAGGTTCCCTCGAGGGACAGAACTAACAGGATACATAAGTGTGTATAAAGGGGAGTTTATTAACTTACATGATCACAAGGTCCTATAATAGGCTGTCTGCAAGCATCTAGCACAGGAGAAGATGTAGGCTAAGAGGCTAGGCAAGTCTCACCTTTTCACATTTTTCTGCCCACTTTATATTTGCTCACAGCTGATTAGATTGTGCCCACCAGATTAAGGGTGGGTGTGTCTTCCCCAACCTACTGACTCAAATGTTAATCTCCTTTGGCAACACCCTCACAGACACACCTAGGATCAATATTTTGCATCCTTTAATCCAAGTTGGCACTCAGTATTAACAATCACAATTAGAAAAGGATAAGTATTTTTTGTTCTATTAATATGTGCACGAAGGCACACACTGGACTATAATGTAAAATGTGCCTTTTATTGTGGCACATAGTGCCTTCACAGTCACTGAAGCTTGAAAAACCTTGATTTAGAACCTAAGTCATCTCATAACCTAGACAGGTTGTTGGTTATAGTCTAAATCCAGCATGTTTTATTTAATTTTGATTTCAGAACATAAAGAACTGGCCCCTGATGAAGAAAAAGATCTAATTACATCAGACAGTAAGTCAGTGGGGTTATAAACAATGTCTATACTGCTAATAGTCATGACTTATATTGTCCAGTTAGAGAATAATGTATGGTCTAGCAACCAAAGCAAGTTTTAAATAACTGCTTCTTTTCATATGCTTCACAAACACTTTGAAATGGGCATACAAAATGTCAACATTTTTTTAAAATACTAAAACTGCTTCTTTGTCATACTCACCTCAAACTCTCCCAAAATATTCTAACTTCAGCTCCAGTCCCTTGTGTCTCCTCCTTCTCACCTTTCCCTTTTCTTCTCAATTCTTTATTACAAAGCCCAAAATAACCAATATGGCAAGACAGCATCTTCCTCGAAGACAGGTGAGAGGAAGAGTCTGAGAGAGCCAAGATAGAATTCTTAACTGGGAATTTTTTGTCTCATTATGTGTATATATAGCTCATCATATATATAATATATAATATATTACACATATACACACACATATATATGTATATGCTGTTGACCCTTGAACAGCATGGTTTGAACTGTGCAGGTCCACTTATTATGTAGATTTTCTTCCATCTCTACCATTCCTAAGACAGCAAGAGCAATGCCTCCTCTTCCTGCTGCTCCTCCCCAGCCTAGTCAACATAAAGAAAATGAGGATAAAGAGCTTTATGATGACCCATTTCCACTTAATGAATAGTAAACATATTTTCTTTTCCCTATGACTTTCGTAATAATATTTTCTTTTTTCTAGCTTACTTTATTGTTAGAATACAGTATATGATACATATAACATACAAAATATATGTTAACTGTTCTTGGCAAGACTTGTGGTCAACAGTAGGCTATTAGTTAAGCTTTGGGGAAATCAAAGTTATTTGCAGATTATTGATTACACAGGGGAATGGTGTCTCTAACATCCACATCGTTCAAGGGTCAACTATATACATATAATGTGAGTGCTTGCAAATATTTACGTAGTGGATTGTATTTTTTCTAAAGCTGCCTATACAAACTATATATCAACAAAATAATAATTTAGGGCTGGAAACAGTGGCTCACGCCTGTAATCCCAGCACTATGGGAGGCTGAGGCGGGCAGATCACAAAGTCAGGAGTTTGAGAACAGCCTGGCCAATATGGTGAAACCCCATTTCAACTAAAAATACAAAAAAAAAAAAAAAAAAGAAAGATTAGCCAGGCATAGTGGTGTGTACCTGTAGTCCCAGCTACTTGGGAGGGAGGCTGGGTCAGGAGATTTGCCTGAACCAGGAGGTGGAGTTTACAGTGAGCTGAGATTACACCACTGCACTCCAGCCTGGGTGACAGGGTGCGACTCTGTCTCAAAAAAATAAAATAATAATAATAATAATTTAGTATGTTTCCATTTTTATGGCTTCACCTGAAACTATATAGAAGGAAGCTAACAAACATTGAGAAGCTGCCCAATGATTTATGGGGGCCAGGGGAGGAGGCTTCATAGTGAGGTTGGTAGAAAGATGCCACCCTGAGCAGTTGACTGAACATCTGCTTGTTCATATTGTCCACTCAGGACACAGATAAGCCATCATCATTCGTTGTGACTTTATATAATAGTGGTCTAGCATCTTGCGATTCCTAGGAGAGCAGTGCATTCAGAGAAACTTCAGAGGAAGGAACAAGATAGAAGAAAATGAAAATAACTGCAAAAATTATTATGCTTTACATACTAAAAACTATTCTTTTAACTCTATTTGCAGCAGCAGATTTTCAAAATCTGAGTCCTCAAGCCACCTCTGAAAAGCCACAGAGTCTTGAGTTCCTAAATGGTAGGTGGTAGATAAAACATTAACTAGTATTTTCTTATTCTGCAAATGGAACTGGGTAGTAGAGGATCATGTTTACTTGCAATACTATTCTTGTCATACTGCCTCCCTTTCCCACATTCCACAGAGACCCAGCCTTGGTTGCTTACTCTCTGGGATCCTAGCTTCCCACTTCTTTTTTTTTTTTTTTTTTTTTTTTAAGACAGGCTCTGCTCTGTTGCCCAGGCTCTAGTGCAGTGACACAGTGACAGCTCACTGCAACCTCAACCTCCTAGACTTGTGATGCTCCCAACTCAGCCTCCATACCCAACTAATTTTTAAAATTTTTGTAGAGCTAGGGTCTCATAGTGTTGCCCAGGCTGGTCTCAATTTCCTGAGCCCAAGTGACTGCCCACTTTGGTCTCCCAAAATGCTAGAATTACAGATGTGAGCCCCTGCATCTGGCCTGCTTCCCACTTTTGCAACCAAAGCTATGAGAACCTAATCCTTCCCTCAAAATGAATAAGTAAGGAAATTGACACAAGCAATCTGCATGTCCAGATTTCCCATATATATAACTGAGTTTAAAACAAAGCTGATGTACGTTTCTTTATGGTTGATCAGTCAGAATATTCCCCCAAGTTCCCACACTTTTATTTAAATGTCCAATAAAATGAAAAAAATCCCGTGCACCTTTCATTCTGAAATGTATGGTATGACAGACTTAGGAATGGTGCTAATTACAGGGAATTAGAATTGGTGCATAGAGGAGCAGCAAAGCCAAGAGCAGGAAAGCAGGAATGGAGCTGACAACATAGCTGCATACACGATTTGGAATGAAAAGCAAAGTACCAGGAGAGAGCACATAAAAATAGCTTACAGCCAAGGAAGAGGCCACAATTAGTTTTGCTATATGAAAACATCTAACTATGATCTCATGGCTTTATTTCCCCATAGAATCCCTCTCACACATGTACTTTCTCAGCTATTGAATCATGAATACAGGAATCCAGTAAACAAAAAAGCTAATAAAAACATATGCTACTAACGTATTTTGGAAATAGTTATACCTTTTCATTTCTTTTTCTTTTGCAGACTTTGAAAGCAAAACTGTGGAACCCTAACAGATCAAATCGGATGGAATACATAATTACTTGGTAGCATAATAAATATAGAAAGAATTTATATGAATGTTTATATTTAAGGAAAAATAATTTGAAAGATTTATATCAGTCTTAGATAATACCATGCAAGGCAATTAAATCACTGTGACAGCACAAAGGTCAAAGTTCAGTTATTTTGCATTACTGTATCCACTCATGTTCATTTAATAATAATTGGATTTTTCTCAGAAATATTTTGGTGTCAAATGCATTTTTTTATACTACATTAAAATAGAGTTGTCAGTCATTGCATCTGCCCATACATCTTCTGAAAGAACTTCCTTCTACCAGCCATACCTAACACCTGCACCTAAGTGGCCATGTTTGCTCAACTGTCCTCACCACCTTGGCCTCAACTAATTAGACCAAACAGATGCACCTCACTCGAGGAGAGCAATCATATTTTCTCTCTCTCAAAAAATTTGAACTGAGACCAATGAGTAAGTTGGTATCTGGGTCAGGTTAATGGTATTGAACAATGTGCCTGTGAACTCTTCATATCTGGTTGGGTTCACTACCTTCATAAGGACCTGCCTCTGTACCATTTTTCCTTGGATGTGCTTTGTATAAGGGTCTAAACAAGAAATCACACTTTTTTAAAGCTTAAGTTTCTGCTTGACAACAGATATGGCCTGAATAAAATGAATTTTGAAAGAAAAGCACAATATTTTTACTATATAATTGCATGGTTTAAGTAACAATTACAGGCTTTTATTAAAGCAGTAATAGCCAAACCAGTATGCTCAGATATTTTCCAGCTAATAAGACCCTTTACAAATGCCAGTTAGGAACTTTTGAAAGCCCAGGAGTCATGTGAAAAACTGCTGATACCTCTGCTTTCTTTGTATGTAGCTCTTAAGATACAAATCACTTTCTGAAAATTCAGGAGAATTGCAGGTGCATCTTCTGCATTGCTTCTGCACCATCATAATGAAATGGGTAATTTCAAACCCTTGATTGTCTTTTGCTTGTGTCCAAAGTCAGCACTTCATTTGATGTTATTGTAAAGAAAGCTTAGTATCTATGTTAAGGACATTGATTTTGCACCCTAATCCTACCGATACCATTGCCTCACTTTGTGGGGTCCTCAACCCAAGGAATGTGACCACAGAGAACAATACCTGGATGAGAAATCAAATGGTGCTTTACACAGAGCTGGGCACATGATGGTTGCCCCTTGTGATCAAATTAAGCAAGATTGGAAACTGATTCAGACTAAGAAGCCCAAGCTAAACTTCCTGCTTCATACCTTTTGAATCAGTTATATGACTCATTTATTATACATAACCAGATAGAAAAGCTGGAACAAAGGACACAACCATGAACACATCATCTTTCAATGTAGTGGCCCTCCCCTTTAGTGATTTTCTTTCCACGAGTGTCAAGCTGCAAACGATGCGATAATGAGCTTCTTCTCCAATAGGTGGATATCTAGGAAAAAGATAGAGGAGACCTTGGCAGTATTTTGTCCCCTTTGGGGACATATTGATTCCCATTGCCAGAAGTCTGTACTTCCAGCATGAATATGAACTGTCATATGTTTGGACCACCACAGGATGACAAGGATGCTCTAGAATAGACTCCTACAGGAGAATAAAACAAATTGATTTTAATCACCATATCTACTACCACACATTTGTCCCAAATTAATATATGGAATTACACTGGGAGGAAAGTGCTGAGTGTTTGCTATTTATTTAGAAATAATGATGGTTCCACTTCAAAAATATTTTTCAGGGTGATCTGGTTTGGCTCTGTGTCCCCCCATGAATTCCATCTTGTAGCTCCCATAATTCCAAAGTGGGAGGTAATTGAATCATGAAGGCAGATCTTTCCCAGGCTGTTCTCACAATAATGAGTAAGTCTCACAAGATCTAATGGCTTTAAAAATGGGAGTTTGCCTGCACAACCTCTCTCTTTGCCTGCTGCCATCTACATAAGGTGTGACTTGTTCCTCCTTGCCATCCACCATGGTTGAGAGGCCTCCCTAGCCATGTGGAACTGTAAGTTCAATTAAACCTCTTTCTTTTGTAAATTGCCCAGCCTTGGCTATGTCTTTATCAGCAGCATGAAAACGGACTAATACACAGGGAGGTTTGTTTTGTTTTGTTTTCCGGCTGATGCACTAGTTCTCACAGTAGCCTGTTATATGTAATAGACCAACGTGGGAAATCACAAGTCTCATTTTCCCAGTAGAGGTAATTTTAATTTGAGGTTATTACAAGTAGTTTCTCTATGTTGTTAAAACTGTAAAATTCAACAGCCCTTTATGCTAAAAACTCTCAATAAACTAGGTATCGAAGAAACATATCTCAAAATAATAAAAGCTATTTACAACAAACCTACAGCCAATATCATACTGAATGGGCAAAAACTGGAAGCATTCTCTTTGAAATGGGCACTAGACAAGGATCCCTCTGTCACCACTCCTGTTCAATATAGTATTGGAAGTTCTAGCCAGAATAATTAGGCAAGAAAAAAAATAAAGGATATTCAATTAGGAAAAGAGGAAGTCAACTTGTCTCTATTTGCAGACGACATGATTGTATATTTAGAAGACCCTGTCATCTCAGCCAAAAATCTCCTTAAACGGATAAGCAACTTCAGCAAAGTCTCAGGATACAAAATAAATGTGCAGAAATTACAAGTATTTCTATACACCAATAACAGACTAACAGAGAGCCCAATCATGAGCAAACTCCCATTCACAATTGCTACAAAGAGAATAAAATACCTAGGAATACAAGTAACAAAAGATGTAAAGGACCTCTTCAAGGATAACTACAAACCATTGCTCAAGGAAGTAAGAGAGGACACAAAGGGAGAAACATTCCATGATCATGGTTAGGAAGAATCAATATCGTGAAAATGGCCATACTGCCCAAAGCAATTTATGGATTCAATGCTATCTCCATCAAGCTACCAATGACCTTCTTCACAGAACTGGAAAAAAACACCTTAAACTTCATATAGAACTAAAAGAGAGCCCGCATAGCCAAGACAATCCTAAGCAAAAAGAACAAAGCTGGAGACATCACGCTAACTGATTTCAAAGGCTCAAAACAGCATAGTACTGGTACCAAAACAGAGATACAGACCAATGGAACAGAAAAGAGGCCTTAGAGGCAATGCCATACATATACAACCATCTGATCTTTGACAAACCTGACAAAAGCAAGCATTGGGGAAAGGATTCCATGTTTAATACATGGTGTTGGGTAAACTGGCTAGCAGTGTTAAGAAAGCAGAAACTGGACCCCTTCCTGACACCTTACACTAAAATCATAGTAGATTAAAGACTTAAACATAAGACCTAACACCATAAAAACCTTAGAAGAAAACCTAGTCAAAACCATTCAGGACATAGGCATAGGCAAGGATTTCAGTGACTAAAACACCAAAAGCAATGGCAACAAAAGCCAAAATAGACAAATGGGATCTAATTAAACTCCAGAGCTCCTGTACAGAAAAAGAAACAATAATTAGAGTGGACCAGCAGCCAACAGAATGGGAAAAAGTTTTGCAATCTACCCATCTGACAAAGGGCTAATATCCAGAATCTATAGAGAACTACAACAGATTTACAAGAAACAACAAACAAACCCATCCAAAAGTGGGAGAAGGATATGAACAGACACTTTTTAAAAGAAAATATATATGAGGCCAACAAGCATATACAAAATGCTCATCACTGGTCATTAGAGAAATGCAAATCAAAACTACATTGAGACACCATCTCACACCAGTTAGAATGGCGATCATTAAAAAATCTGGAGACAACAGATGCTGGAGAGGATGTGGATAAACAGAAACACTTTTACACTGTTGGTGGGAGTGTAAATTAGTTCAGCCATTGTGGAAGACAGTGTGGCGCTTCCTCAGGGATCTAGAAATAGAAATTCCATTTGACCCAGAAACCCCAATACTGTGTATATACCCAAAGGATTATAAATAATTCTATTATAAAGACACATGCACATGTATGTTCATAGCGGCACTGTTTACAATAGCAAAGACCTAGAACCAACCCAAATGCCCATCAACAATAGACTAGACAAGGAAAATGTGGCACATATACACCATGGAATACTATGCAGCCATAAAAAACGATGAGTTCATGTCCTTTGTAGGGACATGGATGAATCTGGAAACCATCATTCTCAGCAAACTGACACAAGAACAGAAAATCAAATACCACATGTTCTCACTTATAGGTGGGTGTTGAACAATGAGAACACATGGACACAGGGAGGGGAGCATCACACACTGGGGTCTGTTTGGGGGTTGCCCAAGGGAGGGATGGCAGGGGTTGGGGAGGTTGGGGAGGGATAACATGGGGAGAAAAGCCAGATGTGGGTGACCAGGGAATGGAGGTAGCAAATCACATTGCCATGTGTGTACCTATTCAACAATACTGCACAATCTGCACATGTACCTCAGAACCTAAAGTACAATTAGAAAAAAAAAAAACTATCATTGTAAAGACTTGAGGGAGGAATATTCTGTAGAAAAAATAGAGTATTGTTTGTAGAGAGGCATTACATGTATAAAGTAATTACTTTAATTGGTCACTGAAATATTAGTTAAGTGTCTATAAATCTTTGCAACTATAGCAAGCACTATTATGGTTGCCCTCCCTACAGTCCTGCCCCATTCTCTTGACCAACAGAACTCTGATATTGTTGGGATGGCTGATGGGCCCAATAAATAGTGAGATATCTAATTAGTCCCATTTGCCAGTGATTGGCCTAGGGGTGGGTATACAGACCCATTTTGAACACTGATACATAAGCCTTCTGGAGGCCTGCATGAGAGAGAGAGAATAAATGGTATGCAAGGAGAAAGCACTTTGGCTCTCACCTACTTCCTTCCTGCTTAAAATGCTGTCCTACTGGGATGTAATGCTCACAGCTTCAGCAATCATTCTGTAGCCACGAGAAGAGACACCACCAGCATAGGAGGGTGGCAGTAAAGAAAGACAGAAATAGTCTGGTGCCTAAGCCTGAGGCTTTGATGGCTTCAAAGAGCCTCTGAACCAACCCTGGATCAACTCCAGAATTTCTGTCTAATGAACAATAAATAACTCCATGTTTTAAATTCATGTTAGTGATGGGTTCTATTACTTACAGACAATGGCTGCATACTTATATATGTGGCTATATATACTTACAGCTAACAGATATTT